GTTTTTTTTTTTTTTTTTTTTTTTTTAGAGAGAGAGACGGAGTCTTGCTGTGTTGCTCGGACTGGTTTCAAACTCCTAGGCTCAACCAATCCTCCCACTTTGGCCTCCCAAAGTGCTGGGATTACAAGTGTGAGCCACCACGTCCAACCAAGGTGACTGAACAGTTAAGCTGGTACATCCAAACCATTGAATGCTATTGAGCAAAAAAAAGAAAGAAACGAATTATTCATGTAAGTAGCAACTTTGAATGACTCTGCAGGGAATTATGTTGAGTCAGAAAAGTCGATTTCATACATACTGTATTATTCCATTTATAAAACACTCTTGAAAATGACATTATAGAAATAGAGAACAGATTCGTTTTTACTAGTGGTCAGGGACAGAGGAGGGGCTACAGAGAGAGAGTGTGACTATAAAAGGGCACCAGGGGCTAGGTGCGGTGACTCAAGCCTATAATCCCAGTACTTTGGGAGGCCAAGGTGAGGGGATTGCCTGAGCCCATGGGTTAGGGAACAGTCTGGGCTAAGTCTTGAGAACAGTCTTGCCAAGTAGCCCAGACCTCATCTCTACATTAAGTTAAAAAATTAGCTGGGCATGGTAGCGTGCGCCTGTAGTTCTGGCTACTTGGAAGGCTGAGGAAGAAGGATTGCTTGACCACAGCAGGTTGATGCTGGGGTGACCACGAACATGCCACTGCACTCCGGCCTGGGCAACAGAGTGAGACTCCAACTCAAAAAAAAAAAAGGCACCGGGGATCCTTGTAGCCATAAATGTTCTGTATCTTAACTGATGTCAGTATCCTGGCTTTGATATTATGCTATAATTTTATAAAATGTTACCATTGGGGGAGACTATGTATAGGACACAGAGATCTGTGTTTTACAGTTGTTCATGAGGGACAATTATTACAAAATAAAATATTTAATGTTTTTTAAAAACATCATGATAACTTGCCCTTTCTGTGCCAGAGAGTCAAAAGTATCAAAGGAGATACAAGCTAGACTAAGCTGAGAGTGTCATGGTTGAACACAGGATAGCAATAAGTATTACCCATCTATGTCCTTGTTTTAGCTTATATATTCAGTATTTCCATTATACCTTATACAAAAAATATTTATAATAGCTTTTATGAATTGTTGTTGTCCTTAATAATAAAGTTCATTTGTCTTGCAACAAATATTTTTTGAGGGCTTTCTTTGTGTTGATCCCACAATGGGAAAAAAAGTTGGAAAAGTCTGATCAACTGAGCTTAATCCATTTCACATGTAAACACTCGGTCATAGGATAGATATGGAGTTGTTGGTTAAAGCTTTGTTTGTACTGTAATATAATTTTATATTTTAAGTTTCAAGAGACTCAAAGATTGTGGTGTCTGGTTAGCCAATGAAACTTGGTTTTCAGTAATTAAGATATATTTTTTGACATTTTAATATCAATTTGAAATGCTTCTTACAGTCAATATGATTTAGTCGTAGCTTAATTAGCAACCTTTTTCTTTCTGATGATATGTAAATAATGATTGCATCTTATACTTTGTGACATCTTAGGTTCAATGAGATCTGGTAATAATGTCTAAAAGCAACTATTTTTTGCAATTTTTATCTGAATGTTTTGCCTGTCCTGATTTTATTAAACAGAATTTTGGGAGGTGGTATATGTTTTTTTGTCCTTAGAGGGACCGTTAATAATTTGAGGTCTGATAGTAAATACAGTGACATTTCATGGAGAAACTATATTGTTTACATATGCCCAAATGTTAAAACCTGATTTTCCCTCATCTTTTTTTTCTGTTTTTTTTTTCAAGTATCAATATACAGTATCTGGTTTTATGACAAGAATGACTGTCACCGCATAGCAAAACTCATGGCTGAGTAAGTATATTATTTCATAGATCTAATTAATGGTAGATGAGAAATGAAAATTAATTCTCCTCTCTACTTCTCTGTTACTAAAGTCTACTAACTCATGCGATTCATGTATTTCTCCTGATTTCCTTTTTATTGCCAAAAACTTGAAAAAGGCAGAAAACCTTAAAGAAGTCTAAAATTATTTATAATCTTACTACACCCAGTATGCATTTCAGTCTGTTTCCTTTCAGTCTTTTTCTTTATGTATACATTAAGTGGATATGTGTAGTGGCTTTTTACAAAAATAGGACCATACCATATATACTGCTTTTCATGATGACAGCATTTTTCAGGGTATTAAATTTTCCTTTCTAGTATTTATAATGATGGCACTATATCCAGTCCTATAGACAGATCATAATTTAACTAAAAACTTAATGTTGAATGGCTAGGTCTGCCAAACTGCCAAGCTTCCGAGGATGTCATCTACATTCAGTGCACAGCCTGAGCTCCATATCCAGGGGCTCTGATTTAGGTTCTGTCCAAACTTCCACTGTGGTAAGTAGTAGTGTATGCAGTAGTCTGACAGAACTCCTGTACATATCCATGTTTAATTTGTTTTTAACATAGACTCTAGGTTTAGCAGACCTCAACCCATTAATGGATTGTGTTCCAGAAATATTTTTAAAACTCATAATCTTGAAATTGACAAAATAAAGCCAGGCTTGGTGGCTCAGCCTGTAATCCCACGCCTTTGGGAGGCTGAGGTGAGTGGATTGCCCGAGCCTGCGGGTTCGAGACCCGCCTGGGCAGCGAGACCTCATCTCTACAATAAATCAAAAAATCAGC